ACAAAATATTAGCAAATGAAATCCAGCAATATATTAAAAAGTTAATATACAAAGATCAAGTTTGACTTTTCCCAGGAATGCAAGGTTAGCACTGTCAACAAAATAGACGGAGAAAAATATTGCAACACATATATCTGACAACAGGTTTGTACCCAAAAGATATTAAACATTCCTGCAGGTGGAGAATTTAAAAACCACCAACAACAATAATTTTTGCCTTAAGATTCAGTAATCCTGCTGCTAGTTATTTATTCAAGAGAAATAGAAACATATGTGTACACAAAGTCTTTTACAAGGATTTGTACAGCAGCTTTATTCATAAATACTCAATTATAATTTTCAGTCAATAACTGAAAACAACCCAGATATCCTTCAACGGGAGAGTGAATAAATAACCTGCAGTGTCTCATTCAGTGGAATACTAAGCAATAAAAAGATATAAACTATTGATACATGCAACTACCTGAATTAATTTCAAAAGTTATTATTTTGAGTGAAAGAAACTTGACACAAAAATTACATATTGAGTTATTCCACTGATATGATGTTCTAGAATAGTTAAAACTAATATGTGGTGATAGAGATCTACCCATATATAGACAGGGTAGTGGTAGGGCATTGCCTGGGAAGGGTAACCAGGGAACTTTCTGGGATGATAGAGTTGTTCTGTGTGTCTTTATATGCACTTCTCAACACTAATTAAAGGCTACTGAGTTAGTCCATTTGCATTGCTCTAAAGGAATACCTAAGGTTGGATGATTTATAAGGGAAAAAAGTTTATTTTGGCTCATGGTTCTGCAGGCTGTATGAGAAGCATAGTGCCGGCATCTGCTTCCAGTGAGGCCTCAGGGAGCTTTTTACTCATGACAGAATGCATAGTGGCAGCAGGTGTGTCATGTGGCGAGACAGGCAGCAAGAGAGAGAATGAAGAGGTTCCAGACTCTTAAACAAGCAGATCTCACCAGACTCTTAAACAAGCAGATCTCATGTGAACTGACTGAGTGAAAATTGCCTCATCACCAAGGGTATGGTCCTAAGCCATTCATAAGGGATCCACCCCCATGATGCAAACACTTCCTACCAACCCGTACCTCCAACGTTGAGGATTACATCTCAACATGAGATTCATAGAGGATAAATATCCAAACCATATCAGGTACCCTTAAGATCTGTGTATGGTCATCCTTCAGTCTTCTCAGGGGATTGGGTCCAGGACCCACCCTCCCCACAGTATACCAAAATTTGTGGATGCTCAAGTCCCTGATGATATTAAAGTGGTGTATCCTATGCACATCCTCACATATAATTTAAATCATCTCTAGATTACTTGGAATACTTAATACAACATAAATGCTGTGTAAAAATTTGTTATACTATATTTTTATTTTTTATTATTTGTATTTCTGCATTGCTATTTTGTATTTTTTTCTGAATATTTTGATTCAAGATTGGCTGGATTTGTGAATGAGAAACGAGCAGATATGGAAAGATGACTTCATTTCGCTGAATTTCAATTTTAATTGCATTTTTAACAAAGTGAATTACAATGCTTACCCATGTTTGAACATTAGAGTTCACTGTTTTCAGAAATGGTATGACAGGTTAAGAATATTATAAGTCACAAGAAGCATGATAGTGAGAACTGGGTTCATCATCATGTAGGACCAGCAAGAAGAACAGGGTGGTGATGGAATTCAACCTTCAGAAGAAATTACCAGGGCAGAGAGATTTGAGAGAGAAGTAACTCAATCATTTCTTGTAATCCCTCTGCTTCCAAACCTCCCTAAAATGATTAAATACGTTTTAATGGAAGGGCAGAATATTAGGGATAATGTGCTTTCAGTAGCTCCACCTCCCTCACCCCTCAAATTTCCCTCAATCATTTGCCAAAACCTAAGTTTCTATAAAATAATGGGAAATAATTATCTTACTTTGCAACTCAAAATAAAAGAGCTTAAAATATAAATGCGTGATTAAGATAATACTTTAAGATAAATGAATTTTATTCCTAATCAGTGTATGGATGCAAATAAGCACTGATCTTTCCTGTTACTGGTAATATAGAAAGAAGAGAAGGAAGTAGCAGTCCAATTTAACACACATTTACTGAGAGTGTAACGTGTACTAAATCAGTGGTTTTCAAGCTTTTATTACTGTGACCTTTAGTAAGAATTGCAATTTATATTGCAACCCTGTATGTAAGTACATATGTATAACTAAAGCAGTGTTATAAAATAAAACATGTACTTGCTAAATAAGATGCAGTCTAGTATTTACTAGACTAGTATAGTGTGTTTCATGTTTACAGAAATGCAAGTCATGATGCATTAATTTCACTACCTGCTAAAACGTTGTGAACTGTGGTTTGAAAAACACAGTGCTATTCTTTCTACTCAAAATGTGGTCTGTGGACCAACAGCAGCAGCATCGGGGGACTTTAAGAAATACAGAACCTGAGACCATACCTTGCACCTAATGAATCAGAATCTGCATTTTAACTAAACCTCCAGGTGCTTCCTGTGGGCTTTAAAGCATCAGAAGCCCTGTGCTAGATGATGCCTGAGGAGGGTGCTCTGGACAGATGAAGCCTTCTTGGTATTGTTTAAGGCAGAGATTCTTCCTCAGAGATAGTCTGTATTCAGAACAGGCATATTCAAGCCCCCAGCTAAGTCCAATTCAGTATCTCCAAGGATATCTCAGGGCATTTTTATTTAAAAAAAAAGAAAAAAAACATATTAACAAACAAGATCCACGAAAGCCTCTGAATCAGATCCTGTTTAAGAACCACTGGTATAAAAAGTGAAATGAAAGTTGAGCACTGATTAAGTCGTTTGTTTGTTTACTATTATACAAAGGCACAAACCTATGTTTCCAGTAATGTGGAAAGATTTTATTTTATATTTCTTTGTGGGTGACTTCATAGAAAGGCACTTTATTCACACAATACTTATTGATGGGGGTATTCCCACTGCTTCTTTTGAATGTACTTCTCCTTATCGGAGAATTTCCAAACATCTCCATTTTACCAATAATTGCCCTTTTATAGAAATGTAATGTGACTTCTGGTAGAAATACTATTATTAGTCCTGCTGAGATAGCAAAATTTATCCCTGGATGACCTCCAGTCGATCCCTTACCAAAGATCTCAACTGCTGAAGAAAATGGGGCTGTCTCTAAGTGGCCATCACTGTTCATTAAGGTCCTTGCCATTGTGTTCGTATCTTTCCTGAGTAATGGGAAGTTTTAGTCTGGAAGTTGCTAATCTTGCTAACACTAAAAGGCTTTCTCCCATTAGCAGCTTCTGTGTTGCATTAATAATAAGAAAGTAATACAGAGACGGACCTCAGCTGTTCAGTCTCCCCTGAGATGAGGCCCCAGCTTCCCTCTTATCCCCATGGTCCACTCTAATGGTCTTGCCTATATTAAAGTAGTAGAGTGGATAATAAGATAAGTGCTGTTTATTTTATCAGAGTCTAAAATTCCTTCTTCCTGTTGGGGAGGACACGTTTTTTTTTCTTAAGACATCCAAATTGAAAATTATACCATCAATACTTTTGCAATTGAAATTGACCTATTTGCTTCATACTGTTTTAAAAATGTAAGTGTTGACTATCAAGCACAGGAAAAAAATGTTTTAGAAAACATAAATCCCTCCACCTTTCTTGGAAGAGTTACAAAACAGATAACTCTCCTAGGGATGTCTTCTTGTCCTTTTTTGAGTAACTCAAATTACTCATCTGAACAGCAGTAGATTAAAGAAAACTAAAGATCTTTGATTTTATAAGTATTAAAAACTCTTGTTAATAATCAAAGAAGAAATGAAGAGAAAATAACATATTAAAACAAAGTAAATAAGACTGGATTTGACAGGTTCAAGGTGCATGTTAATAAATTGTCTTTGTTATTTAAAATGTTCATAAGGACAGGAACTAATGCTGGGATTAATTGCTTATGTTCTTTTTCTGTTTAAAATATGTTATCTTTTGCAGAAGTGCACTTCTTAAAGATTCCCTTGATTTAAACATCTGTTTTTAAGTGTATATGATCTGTGTATGCAATAGTTAGTTGATTGCAATTTTTCATTTTAAAATAAAACTACTTTTTCTTTCAACAATATATTTTTAACTGGGAAAAGGGGTAATTCACCTTGAAAGTGTTGCTCGTTCCTTGCACTCAAATACTAGAAATTTTTTCTCAATCTACACTGTTGTATCCTGATTTTGAAAAGCTAACTTTATAATTGGGTGATGTATTGCCCGTTTTTGTACTTGTCATTTAGAGGAAAAAGAACCAATATCAATCATCATCATCATCAGTGACTAAACAGTGACTCAATGTATTTTTTAAAATAAAATATATGTTCATAACCCTCTAACAAGGGATCACTGTGATTAGCTTTATGCAATACTTATGTGAGATTCAATAAATAACAGTAAAAAACAACTAAAAGCTATTTTATAAAAACTTATAATCAACATATTTTTTCTTGTAAGTACTTAACTGTTTGAGGGAAAAAATGTGGGCATATCTAATAAATCAGGGATGCTCATCGAAATTTTTAAAAATTATACATGAAAACTTTCTTTGGACCAAAAGGTCCATAATCTGGAAATAAGAAAATTCTAAATACGTTTCAGTAAAATAGACAGTAGATCTTTTCCCCAGAGAGGTGAAAATTTAACTCCCTGTTAACTAAATAACTCTTTCATATGGTCTATTTATTAGGCAAATAATTTTGATGAATACAGTAAACTCACATGTTTGTTGTTTTATTTAGCATGCAAAATGCAAACGTGTTCACCACATACCAATGGGAAGCATATTATTGTTAGAGTTGTCTTTAAATTGAAGGAAGAAAAGAGTTGCTTATGACATTCTTACGAAGCTTCAATAGCAGACAGGTCCATTGGGAAAGTAACAGCTTTAATACAGAATTGTCCTGGGGTTGTAGATATAATGCACAATTATCTGAATTCGTTTTACTTTTTTCTGTCCTACAGTCCATGAAGGCTCTGGAGAAAATAGTCAAAAGGAGACATCCACCTGTGATATTTGCCAGTTTGGTGCAGAATGTGATGAAGATGCCGAGGACGTCTGGTAATATGCTGTTTTTATTCTTTTAGACAAAATAATGACAGTGATTAATTTCTTTTTAACGCCATCAACCATTCTGCAACAGAAGACATTGTCTGCATTTTTATTTTCTTATTCAGTTCCCAAGTGAAAAAATAAATAAATAAATAAGGGCTGTAATAACAGCAAGGAATTTCTGGAACTGGATTAAGAGGTGGGCCAGCCAAGCAGCTATCCATGGCATTACTTGATAAGGTACACTAAAATATCATTGAATCCTCCCAAAACTGTCAATGTTAGGATATAGAGGGGAAAAAAAAGTCTTATTTACTAGAATGTCTTTGAAAAGGTATCATCAGGACTGGGTGTGATGGTTCAGGCCTGTACTCCCAGCAATTTGGGAGGCCAAGGCAGGAGGATCGCTTGAGGCCAGGAGTTTGAGATCAGCCTGAGCACAAAGAGAGACCCATATCTCTACAAAAAAAAAAAAAAATTAATTAGCTGGGTATGGTCGCACTAGCCTGTAGTCCCAGCTACTCAGGAGGCTGAGGTGGGAGGATCACTTGAGCACAGGAGGTTGAGGCTACAGTGAGCTGTGATCATGCCATTGCATTCCAGCCTGGGCCACAGAGTGAGACTTTATCTCAAGATATTTAAAAGGCATCATCAGGAGGCAATAGATGATCAGAGTTAGTCTGTTTGGGTTTCTATAACAAAATACCATAAACTGGGTAGCTTATAAACAAAAGAAATTTATTTCTCACCATTCTGAAGGCTGAGAAGTCCAAGATCAAGGCAGATTTAATGTCTGATAAGAGCTCACTTTCTCTTAAAATAACCTTCTTCTTACTGAAGCTTCACATGGCAAAAAGGGCAAGGGAAGTCTCTGGAGCCTGTTTTATAAGGGCACTAATCCCATTCATGAAGCCTCCACCCCCATAACCTAATCGCCTCCCAAAGGTCCTACCTCCCAATACTATCATTTTGGAGGTTAGGATTTCACCATATGAATCTGGGGAGGGGGACACCAACATTCAGATCATACCAGTTGCTAATCTGACTTCTAAGATAATGGAGTAACTACTCTTATAAAGATATGTTCATCAAATAAGGAATCATACTTATTATTTTGAAAGGGTGCCAACATTTTAGCCTTCTACTATATTGGTCCCACCTTAAGCACGTTGAAAAGTGAATAACTCAAACTTCTCAGGGGTTCTTTGTGTCATGATAGTGAAAAGAAGCAGCCTCTTTTTTATTCCTTTCCTCTTCTCTCTTCTGCTCCTCACCTCCTCCTCTTCCTCTTCTTCTTCTTCCACTTTCTCGTCTTCTCCTCCTCCTCTTTTCCCTCCCTGTCTTCCTCCTCTTCCTCTTTTCCTTCTCCTTTGTCTTCATCTTCTTCCTATTATTATTATTATTACTATTATTTATCTCTTTTTCTTTTTTACATATATCTCACCCTTTTCAGGAAAACATCTGGCTGCTTTTTATTTTCTTCAGTATGCAGACTGTGCTTGCCTAGAGCAGTTAACCATCATTTTGATCAAACTTTTATGAGTAAGGGGAAAATTCGTCTAAGGAAAATGAAGAAAAAAAATTAAGACAAGATTATTTGGCAGTAGTAAAACAGTCTGCACTTAAAATATTTTTCAAGTGAAGATTCTATCTGAGTAAACGGTGGTTCTTAGGGTAAACTACGTACTTACAAGTAAACACTGCCTTTGAATAGCTAAGTGAAATAAACATCTATTAGTAAAATCAGACAGCAGTAGAGTTTTCATACCTGTCAAACACTTCTAGCCAGTGGGCAGCTAGGAGCCAAGTGAGAGAGTCTATGCACTGGTTTGACCATCTTGAGGTAAACAAATGTATGGTTTTTATTGAGACAGCGTCTCATTTTCTTTCTTTCTTTTTTTTGAGACAGAGTCTCACTCTGTCGCCCAGGCTAGAGTGCAGTGGCGCGATCTCAACTCACTGCAAGTTCCGCCTCCCGGGTTCGAGAGATCCTCCTGTCTCAGCTTCCCGAGTAGCTAGGATTACAGGTGCGCACCACCATGCCTGGCTAATTTTTGTATTTTTAGTAGAGACAGGATTTCATCATGTTGGTCAGACTGGTCTCAAACTCCTGACCTCAGGTGATTTGCCCACCTCGGCCTCCCAAAGTGCTGGGATTACAGGTGTGAGTCACCACGCCTGGCCAACAAATGTTATGTTTTTTAAAAAACATCCCAGGTACCTTAATGTCTGATGAATTTGTGGTTCCCAAAACTGAGAGATTGCCAGAGGTACTATGAGAATTTTTTTAAACATACCAGTTATTTAGTTTTGCCCCAAAATTAATGAATCAGAATTTCAGAAAAGCGGGGCTTAAAATTTTATTTTTCTACAAGTCCCCCAGGTGATTATGGAAATACTACTCTAAAATAAATTACTAATTCAAAGACTCTTTCTCCTTCCTAAATGCTTTAGGGCTCTTCTGTAGTCATAAGATCAAGACACACAAATAGGAAATGTATCCTTAAAATATTTTGTTTCTAACGTTTGTTGGTGACTGCATCTGTGTTTCAGCATCATTTTTTCAAGCTGTCTTCTTGTAAATTATTTCACTTAAAAAAATGTACATGAGTCTCTTTTTTTAAGAATTTTAATTTTCCTAGTTCCTTATCTTTTTAATGATCATTCTTTAAGTGGTATAGCTCCACTTTACAAGTACACATATTTAAGACATGAACTTATAAGAGCAGCTAAAAATTATTAGTTGCTTACAATGGGTTTTATCCATTTGTACCATTTGTATACTTTTTTTTTTCTCAGCTATCTTCAAAATAGCCATAGGAGGTAGATTCCATTATTATTTTACTTTAAAAAGAGAAAACTGAGTTTTAAAGTGTTAAAGTGGCAGGACCAAGATGAAGAGAGGAGGTGAAAGTAACTAAAGGGTGTTAGCGTAACAATTCAACCAAAGATGCAATGGAAACAATATGTCTTTGCTATCATGTCTAGACAATGAGATGGCCAGATTGCAGGCAGCATGTTTGCACTGACTCTCCAAGGCCTGCAAGGTTAGAGCTGGTCTAGGTAGATATTTGCAGCTGGAAGTGGGAAAACATCCAAGCAAGCAAGGGGTTAATCCTGGTATTCTTGCAGAAGTTCAGATCCGTGGTATGAAGGCAGTATGAAGAGATACGGGCAAAGGTAGTGACACCAGAAAGGCTTAGCAGTTGTCTACAGGGCCCAGCCATAGCAACTGTAATTCAGAAAATAAGTTCAGTTACAAATGGGACAAGGAGAAGGACAAAGCAGAACCTCAGTCATGGAGAAATTGGTGTCAATCAGAAAAACTCATCAAGAACTGAAATAGGAGAGCCTGGATACATACTGGAACTGGTATACAAAGTCAAACCTTGGTTACAAGTGGCTGGGAGAAGCATAGCCTACATCTGAGAAATAAATTACAAGGTCAGAATGAAACCAGCAGCAAAGCTGTCTGAATGCTAAATCAGTTAGCTTTTGGCTACGATATCTTGTATACCCCCAGCATAGGGACAAGATTAGCTCCAAAATGCAGAATAAGCCTGAACCTCCAGATGGGGGCTAAGTGGCCACGGCTGTGAAGATTAGAGGGCTGCAGGGGCAGGGAGCCAAGAAGATCATTAGACTTCCAAGGCAAGAATGAAAGTTATTAGTGTTTAAATAAAATGTATTTAAAATGTTCAATGTAAGCAATAAGGAATTGTGCTGAAATGACAAGTGCATTGATTTTCATTTACATACCTTGTATGTTAACATACCTTTGTATGTTAACATATTGTATTAGTCATGGCCATGAAGGGCAGATTGGAAACAGCTGAAGGACACAGGAATAAAGCAATGAGTGAAATTAAATAGGCATAGAATGAAAGAGGCTGTAAAGTAAGATAGGAAGCAATAGCGGAGCAATCTGACTGTAGTACCAGGTAGCAGAACCTTCACTAAATCAAGGGAGCATTGATACACTATTGATTTTGGATGACACCATGGCCACGTTCTCTCAAACATAAAATACTACATATACTGTGTGGCAACAAAGAGTACAACTTATTGTTTCAGTTTTTTCCTTTAACACTAACTAAACTATAATTTTATGTGTACAGATTTCCTTAATCCTGCACTATGAAGTAATAACAAGATGTGAATAACTGCTGATGTGAAATAATGTTCTTACTATATCCACAATACTGAAACAAAGGTGAAAAATTAATTCCCAATCTTTCTTTAACCCTGGCCTAATAAGTTAATATTTTGCATTTTGCCACAGGGTTAAATCTAGTTATTCAAACATTCTTAAGTACTTTCAAGATGAAGATAAATCTTTATTAGAATAAAAACGTCAGTACACGGTTAACTGATCATGTTTTCATAGTTAGATGAGTTTTTGAGTTCAGAAGAAAGTCACACTGGAGATGGGAATTAAAAAAAGTAATAAATAGGGGAAGGAGAAGGAGAATAAAATAAGAGGAGAAAAAGTAATAATCAGATGGCATTGACAAACTATGATACTAATGACATAACATTTTAATGCTTTTATTTTGAGAAAACAGATGGCTTGTAATCTAATATAAGACCCTAGTTTATGTTCTGTGATTTCATTTCAAGGTTTTTCTCTTGCATTTTTCTTATATGGAGAACATCAAGGCTGTAAAAAATCAGAAAATTTTAGGTTCTCTCAATAGGAAAGGAAGACCATTGCTACAAAATATTTTTTTTCAGTTATAGGTATTAACTTAAATGTAGAAAAGGATTGAGCTTCCAAAAGAGGGTTAAAATTCAACAGGACAAGTTATTCACACGTCAGTACATCCATTCTCATAATAGAGGTATCTTTCATTAAGGAAGGACTTCAAAAGTAGCTGAAACACCTGTATGAAGGGATGTGTGTGCCTGTTTATGGGGAAGGGGTTAAGAGAAGAAGGGCTTAAAAGATCGTTTCTCTTTATATCTAGACTGAAAACAGTCAAAACTAATACATTTATACATAAAAGAGACTCTCAAATACACCCTGCCAAATATAATTTATAAAGAAGAAGAATGGCTTATAAATAAGTCAAATATAATAAAATTGACTCATTGCAAAGTAATAAAGCTCCATCTGATAGCACTGGGAATACCAACTTATGATTTCAGCAAATATTTCTGATTTCACTTTAGAAACAGCTTTATATTCCCTTAATTATCTTACCTGATAAATTATCTCAGTAAGTCCAAAGTAGGTCAGTGGAAACTCTTTTCTCTGGGAACTATTCCTTAGAAGTAATTAGCCTGGAAGTTTCTGTTGGTTCTGTCAGTCACAAGTAGTTCAGAGCCCTGGGGTTGACACTTGATTTAATATACATATACATACAAAAGCACTGATAGCTGGGTCTGACCATAGGAATAGCTAGGTATGAAATTGGCTGCATGCCTAATATTTCCAGGAAGAGAGCACAGGTGCACAGGTGTAAGAGCAGATGCAGCCAGATGACAAATGACATAAAGGGACAACTTAAATTATTAGGTATATTTGCTTTATATGTATTCTTCAGAGCTCTTTATTCCTGTTTTAACTTTGCTTTTGTAGTATTCTCTACATGCCACTCAGGCTCCATTAGCGATATCATATTGGCTTAAATGCTATTAACTCCTTAGTAGTCATTCATTTTGTCTTTGAAAGCATTAATAATATTTTCCAGTTTTAGTGTATAATATCCTGGTGTTTGAGTGCAATGGTAAGAAAGGAAAGAAGCAAAGTTGTTGCAATAAAATGAGTTCCAAAGAGGAATGCATTGAATGTCTATTATTTTCTCTATTTCATGGATGTTTCATAATTGAAACAGGGTGTGGGATCTGGCATTTCTTTTCTGGGTGTCTCTTACAAAGACAGTTTAGTTTGAAGTCTTTAACATCTTGCTTCTTTGATCTGAGAAGGCTCCTTGTCACTAGGAAGACTGTGTGTTATTGGCAACCTGCCCACATTTAATGCATTTTGGATTGTGGAGGCTCATGAATATTTGAAGTGGGGCAATGGCCATGGATGATCCTTGGCACTAGATTTCATCATAGGTATAAGTAAATTAGACATTAGGTCTTGCTGACTTTAGTACCTTTGGGTTGTGAGTTTGATAGGGAAAATTAAGACACCTCTGAGGAAAATACAGAAAATGGTTTTATTTAAAACCACTCCTGGTTGACAGTTGAACAAAAAGATTGTGTTTAAAGTAGAAACTGCAATCTTTGTATTGCTTTTCTACTAAGCAAAAAGAGCAGACTTGGATATGGTATATTTAAAGAGGATGCTGATTAGTCACAAAATTAGCCACCTAAGAGTTCATTCAGTTTCTCCCTAGGGTGTTTCCCTTTTATTAATTTCCTTTGCTCTCTGGCCCCAGAAGTGTAACTGGTAGCCAACATTAGGTCTGGTTTCTAATATGAGTTTACTCATGGAGACAATAAAAAAAAAAAACAGAAAAAAGATAATAGATCTGGTCTAGAAAATCTAAGGTTTTTGTTGAATGTATACATGGCTTTTTGAGAAAACATTTTAGTTCCGAGATTCCTGGAGTTGAGGTATGACCTCCCTCCATTTACCTCTTATCCCCACCTTGAAGACAGTAGCTGTCACCTCTGAAAGTTGCAGTAGCGTTTTCTGTTTGAGTCAATGAGTGGGAACTGAGGAGTAGATACCTCTAGTTCTTTTAATGATTCCATTTGCCCAAAAAATGTTTTTGATGGGGACATATACAGCTCCTGACTTAGGGAAGCACACATCTTTCCACTCTCACAATTTCAAGGGGAAAATGTTGATAGTTTTTAGCAAAGGTGTGTCCAAATCTAAAAGTTGGGGTTTGCTTTTATTATTTATTTCTTTTCTGTATTTCTTCACCTACCTTGATCAAGAAAATAAACAACTTATATTTTTCTAAATTTCAAACACTATAATAAAATTTAGAAGTAAAAGACTAGTAATTCTGACATGGTCTGTACGTTGGTCTATACAGGGCATTAAACAATGCCCAGTGTCAACAAATGCCGTATTCGCAATCCAGACTTCTCTCTGCAGTAGCCGCGAGTAATCCTACCTGCAAACGGAAGTTAAAAGCTTCAAATGTTACTCAGGAAGACAAATGAATAACAATGACTCTTCTAATATGCAACAGTCAAATAATAACCACCACCAACAACTAGCCACCCCTCCAGAAAAAGGAGAGTCATGCTTTATGAAAGTAAAAACTAAAAAAAATTGAAAAATAAAAATAAACAATAGTCTTTAAAACCTTGGGTCTTCTGTGATGCTAGCCTACTTTTAAAAAAAAAATGGGTTTTCACATAAATTCTAGAGAATCTTTTAAATTTTTCTCGTTATCCATACCTTAACTGTACTAGCTATCACAGTGATTAGTGAAACTTAATTAGGTTATGACAACTACAAACCGAGATCTGGTGTAGAGTACCAAGAAAGATGGGGATAAAGAATTCTGAACTTCAGTGTGTTTTATTTGTTTTTACAGTATTTATTAGGCCATGCAGTTTAAATCATATAACTTCTATTTTATATCAAAATCATAAATTACTGCATGGCAATAGAACAAAGGAAACAAAACTCCTAAGTACAGATTGTATTTCTACCACTAACTTAACAGTTTTCATTACTTGTTTCTCTTTTTACTTGCTTTTTTTGTTTGTTTGTTTGAGATGGAGTCTCGCCCTGTGGTCCAGGCTGGAGTGCAGTGGCGCCATTTCGGCTCACTGCAAGCTCCGCCTTCCGGGTTCATGCCATTCTCCTGCCTCAGCCTCCTGAGTAGCTGGGACTACAGGCGCCTGCTACCACATCCGGCTAATTTTTTGTATTTTTAATAGAGACGGAGTTTCACCATGTTAGCCAGGATGGTCTCGATCTCCTGACCTCATGATCCGCCCACCTTGGCCTCCCAAAGTGCTGGGATTACAGGCTTGAGCCACCGTGGTTGGCCTTTACTTGCTTTATAAATCTTTGCTTGCTTTTTAAATCTTGTTGTAGGCCACACCCTGTTAATGGTAGGTTGCCTAACTTTTGGTGCTCACTCATTAAATTCACTCTCTATTTCTTCTTGAGTTTTCATGTCTCAGTTTCTAGCATATTCTGAGTCAGCGATTCCTGTCTCCACACTCAGGAAATACCTGCTCCATGTTCCGATGTCCCAGTGTAACATCCCAGTCTCAGAAATAATAATAGGAATCTCACTGTAGTTATCAAAGTGTGACAAACGTTTCCAAAGCGTATCAGACACCATCCTAAATGTCTAGATTTATGGAGCCATTTAATCCTCACCACAGTCTTATGAATTTAATACACTAGTAATTCTCATGTTACAAAACAGAAAACTGAGGCACAGACAGGTTAATCAAACTTCCCAAAGCCAAACAGCAAGTGGGAAAGCCATGATTTGTGCCAGCCAGGCAGACTCCATGCTCTTAACTACCACTCAAAGTCTTCTCTTAGAAATTATGTGTGTATATAAGTGTATATTGTGAATATGCACACACACACACACGCACACACATAGACCAAATGTATCACTTAAAGTAAAGTGGCAGTTTGGGATGAAATTCACCACTAACACACCTACATTGTGTATGATGCCCTTGAAGTTCTTTTTCACTTGGTATATAAAATATATTTCTTTGTAGTTCCCTTCAAGGCTGTGTGGTTTTCATTAGTTTGTTTTTCACAGAGGTATTGAATTGTCATGTATGGAGCATATTCTTATCATGGTTATGCATGCATCCAATCAGATGAGAATGTTTGTTACTAGCCTTAAGGTTTCATAGGAGAGACATACCTTCACCAAAACCTGAGGTTTATTTAGTTGCTTCAATTCAATTTGCCTGTTTTGCAGTTGCAATGGCAATCCTGACTGTGAACCAAAGCTTATTACAAATGTCTATTTCTGCTGTAAGAATAGAAATTCCTGGAGATGAGAAATAGAAAAAGAGGGAAGAGTCACCAAATTAAATAAAAATAAATATGACAGTGGGTTTTAATCTCTATCTTAGGAGCAATGCCCTGCTGTATCTTTTAATTTAGCACTTAAAATATGATGTGAAGCTTCTTATATTCCAATATAACATATATTTTTGATGGTTATATTAAAATGGGTTTTACATTTTTTCTAAATATAAATACACACATTGCATCATAGTGAGTTTAAAAAAAAATAGAAATACAAAAACCTTAGGAAAATGTCATCCCTTTCTAAGATAATCATTGTGAAATTTGGAGATATATTTTCCGTGTGTGTGTGTGTGTGTGTGTGTGTGTGTGTGTGTTTTATGAGAATCTGATAATATTTTACATATTAACAAAACCACTTATCTTGATCATTTTTAATCTTGAGGGTGAGTTATTTAGTGATTGTTAGGAATGCCAAACCAATTTAAGAATAATGTATTTATATTGGAAAGCAATTTCTGTATCCCAAGCTCTGATAATTCTTTCAAAATTTTCAGCACTTCTAAAAATAATTCATTTGAGGGTACTGTCCTAACATTTGTGATCTAAAAAATTACCAAACCCTATATCCCCTCTAAGCCTGTGTTAAACATTTTTCGTGTTTAACTCCAAGAGACTAGACAGTATGTGAACTGAAAACATTTCCACTGTCTGTATCCAGAGTGTTCATAATAAATAGCTTTCTGAGGCATAAGCATTGTTTGCTGAGAAGCTGTCCTCCCAAAGGTGTATTAAATCGGGTAGAAACTGTTGCTGGTCTTCTGTGGTTTACTTCCAAATAGTAATATATTGTATGTGTTGGCTCATCTAAACTACAAATCAGTGAACCATCCTCAGCAGCCGACATCAGTCTCTTCTAGACACATTTCCCTACAAACAGGGCATATAATATCTAATAAGTGATTGAACAAATTGTAAAATTATATGCAACACCCAATCAAAAAATCAATACTGCTGAAAGTCTAAACACTTATTAGAGAAAAAAGCCAATAAATAATGAAAACGCATATCTGATTTTCTAGCCCGCCTAATGTAAAGCAAAATTAATCAAGAGTGGGTCCATTCATCCTTTTTTCACTAAGCTATGAATGGAACATAAGAAATCAGGACAATGCATTTGGGACAGATGATCTTCTGAAGATTGTTTACCACAGCTCTTTCTTATTTATTGCAGCCTTTCAAAGTCTTTGACATAGTAGTTCACTGTATTCTCTGAGCTCATCCTGAAATGAGCTTTCTACAATCAAAATTATATTATCCATGGTAATAAATGTAATGGTAGGTTCTAGCTAGCCATAAGGGCTTATAATAAGCAGATATTAGGAGATGTTTATCTGGGAGAAGTGCACAACAGTTTAGAAAAAAGCAAAAATAAGAAATAAAATAAAATATTAGCTTCACATTAGCAAAAATTAGTCATGCATTTCTGTAATAAACATAGGTATCTGCAGGCCAGGCACAGTGGCTTACGCCTGTAATCCCAGCACTTTAGGGGAGGCTGAAGCAGGCAGATTGCTTGAGTTCAGGAGTTCATGACCACCCTGGGCAACACAGTGAAACCCTGTCTCTACTAAAATACAAAAAATTAGCTGTGCATGGCAGCATACACCTGTAGTCCCAGCTACTCGGGAGACTGAAGCAGGAGAATTGCCTAAACCTGGGAGGCAGAGGTTGCAGTGAGCCAAGATCACACCACTGCACTCCAGCCTGGGTGACAGAGAAAGACTCCGTCTAAAAAAAAAAAGGAATAAACAGGTATCTGCATAAATTTGAAACTTTAGGACATTCTAATATAACATCGAATTATCAATAATGATGAAAAATGAAAATGATATATTTGATTACAGTATGCAACTTAATTTTAATTGAGTATTATTTGTCTTCCCTAGAAAGTATGTTGATTTTTGGAAAAAGAAAATACGACAGAACTGCTTGCATTACAGCTACACTGAATGGTCAGACTTGGGGGGAAGAAAGAAAAGAAACAGAAGAAGCCCTGCATTGATCAATATATTGGTATATTAATCAGGGTTCTTCAGAGAAACAAAGGAATAGGAAGCAAAAATTTTTCTAGTGAATCACTACAGATAATAGTGGAAGGTGATAGTTCCATTTCCACCCCTTGATTTCTGGACCAATGAATTTTGGTTATGGGAGACAGAGCACCACATATTAAATGCTGATGCAGAGCACATACAGCCTTCTGGAGAACCTTGCCCCAGTCCTAGAAAGGATGGCCACCTAGCTGGTGTTACAACTGTGATTTCTTTCTTTTTTTTCTTTGAGACAGTGTCTCATTCCGTCACCCAGGTTGGAGTGCAGTGGCACGATCTTGGCTCACTGCAACCTCCACCTCCTGGGTTCAAGCAATTCTCCGGTCTCAGCCTCCCAAGTAGCTGGGACTACAGGTGCACACCACACGCCCAGCTAATTTTTGTATTTTTAGTAGAGACAGGGTTTCACTATATTAGTCAGGTTGGTCTTGAACTCCTGACCTCAGGTGATCCACCTACCTCAGCCTCCCAAAGTGCTGGGATTACAACTGTGATTTCAAAAAACCATTCCACCACTCTATCAAGCCAGCAGCTATAGGATGGCAGGAAACATGGTGAGGCCAGGGAATTCCATGAGTGTATCCCCATTGCCATGCTTCTTTTGTGGTTATGTGAGTTCCTTAGTCAGAAGCAACGCTGTGTGGAATACCAAGCTGGTGTATAAAGCATTCTATAAGTCCATGGATGGTAGTTTTGGGATAAGCATTGTGTGCAGGAAGAAAAATTTATATCCAATGTAAGTACCTATTTCAGTAAGGACAAACTGCTGTTTCTTCCATGATGGAAACAGTGCAATATAATCAACCTGCCACCCAGGAGCTGGCTGGCCACCATGAGGATTGGTGCCATATCAGGGACTTGGTGTTGGTTTCTGCTTCTAGCAGATTAAGAACTCACTGGTGACTGTAGCCAGGCTGGTCTTGGTGAGTAAGAGTCTATGTTGCTGAGCCTATGCATAACCCCCATTTATTGCCACAATGGCCACTTTGTTCATGAGCCCATTGGGCAATGAACAGGGTTGGCTGGAGAAAGAAGCTGAGTGATAGCTACAGAATGGGTCATTCTATCCAGTTTATTATTACAGTCTTCCTTTGCTGAGGTTTCCCTTTTGTGAATATCTACATGGGACAAGTATCTTCATGGTTTTTTGCCCATTGAGAGAGGTCTATCCACACACTTCTTCCTCAAATTTTCTTCTCACCAATATTCCAATCAAGTCCTTGACCATCTACCTAACCATTGGCCACAGTCCATGAATCAGTGTACAGTCACATGTCCTGCCTTTTCTCCTAAGCAAAGTGAACAATCAGACGCACTGCTTGAAGTTCTGCCCACTGGAAGGATTTTTCTTCGCCATTGTCCTTGAGGAATGTTTCAGAGAAGGTCTGTAGTGCTGCAGCTGCCCACTCTCAGGTGGTAGCTGCAATATCATGCAGAATCTTCTGTAAATCAGGCCTCTTGTTTCCTCTATCAACTGATCACAAGGAGCTCCCACATGAGGCCACAGAAGCAGGCGGGAAAGAGAAGGTCCTGTAATAGGAGTGGGTGCCGTGACATTTAGGCCCCTCTTTTCATGTAACTTACTTGTGCCAAGGGCCTGATTTGACCTAATCTCATGCAAAGCACTTCCATTTGATGATGGAGTGCTGCTGTGCATGCCCAACTTCATGGCTTTGCAAGTAAGACAACACTCAGTTCATGGTGGGAAGCTCAGGTCGAATAGTAACTTGATAGTGCATAGTTAAGTACTAAGTCTCTGCTAAGGCCCAGTAGCAAACTAAGAACTGTTTCTCAAAAGGAGAGTAGTTATCCACAGAAAATATCAGGGCTTTGTTCAAAAATCCTAAGGATCCACACTGTGATTCACCAATAGGGACCCATCAAAGGCTCCAGACAGCATCCCTGGCTACCACTGACACTTCAGGCACCATTGGATGTACTAAATCATAAGGCCCTAGTGACAGAGCAGCTTGCACAGCAGCCTAGACCTGTTGCAGAGTCTCTTCTTGTTCTGGGCCCCACTGAAAACTAGCAGCTTTTAGTTTACTCAGTAAACGGACCAGAGTAACAGCCTCAGATAAGGAATATGTTGCCTCCAAAATCCAAAGAGGCCCACTAGGCATTGTTCCTTGTTTATGGTTGAAGACGAGGCAAATGCATCAACTTATCCTTTACTTTAGAAGGGATATCTCACATGCTCCACATACTGACCCCTAGAAATTTCACTGAATTTTCTTGAAAATTCACTCTCTGACATGCAAATGTCTTACCAATAACTATAGAGTAGTTGCTGCTTCTTGCTCACTACGTCCCATCAGCATAATGTCACCAGTGTAATACAGCAGTGTGATATCTTTTGTAAGGGAAAGGTGATAAAGATTCCTGCAAACTAAATTATGACATAGTGGTAGAGAATTAACATGCCCCTGATGCAGCACAGTGAAGCTATAGTGCCGACCTCGCTAGCTAAAAGCAAACTGATTCTGGTTGTTCTTCTTGAGAGGTATGGAGAAAAAGGCATTTGCTAGATCAATAGCTGCAATACCAGGTACCGGGGGATGTATGAATTTGCTCAAGCAATGAAACCACATCCAGTACAGCAGCTGCAGTTGGAGTCATCACCTGGTTAAGCTTATAATAATCAACTGTCATTCTCCAAGATTCGTCTGACTCCACACAGGCAAGTTGAGTGAGAACATAAGTATCTCCCCATCCCTGAGTCTTTCAAGTCCTTGATGGTGCAGTCTTTCCCGGAAAGTAGTATTTTTTTGTGTTTAATATTTTTCAAGGTAAAGGCAGTTTTAGCAGCTTCCACTTATCTTTTCCTACCACCCTAGCCTTCATTCCACATGTCATGGAACGAGTGTGGGGTTTCTGCCAGCTGCTGAGAATGTCTACTCCACTT